ATGTGCTACGCGGTGTCTGCCATGTGCTACGCGGTGTCTGCCATGTGCTACGCGGTGTCTGCCATGTGCTACGCGGTGTCTGCCACCCAGAAAGTCCCCTTTCTCTCTCATTCAGGTTCCATTTTTTAGCCAGGGAAGGTAAGGGAGCAGTTGTGCAATTGGCCTGGACTTAACCTAGCCCAGGGTCAGCATGGGGGGTGGGGAGAGAGCTGAGGCTTTTGGGGTAGAACCAATTTCGCTTGCTTAAGTGGTCTCACTGTGGCTGGGGTCAGGCTGCGAATGAACATTCAGTGAGGATTTTAACTGCTCCGTACAGTGTAGTATATGGAACAGGAACAAACAGCCAGAAGTGTGCTGTGTGTGTGTGTGTGTTGCTGGGAACCTTTGGCTTGCTAAGCGACTCACTAAGCTATAGCCCCAGTCCAGCCCAGAAGACACAGTGACTCAGAAATATAAGCCATGGCGTTGGGATTGGAGACTGAGTGTCTGGGTGCTTAGGTCCCTTATCAATCCCAGGCCTTGCTCCACCCCTCCCTGTACTGCTCTCCTTCAGCTCAGACCTTATAATGAGGTCATTTTCCTCACACCTGAGGCACTCACAGGAGAGGAGAGAGATGGAGACAGACAGGGGACGCTCATCCCAAAGCATGCTGTCTGTTGTACCATAAATCAGACACAAGTCCAGTCACGAGAAAACTGAGAAACCACAGTTTGCGAGGTTGGATTTGGAGCCTTTATTAAAAAGCCAGCAACTTCATGGTGGACTCTTGTCTCCAAGACCAGCAGCCAGAAAATACACTTAACACTGTTAGGAAACTGACCCAGGAAGGCCAGAGAGGAAAGAAAGAACAACATACCACCAAACCAGCATAGCCGCACTGGAGAGCTGCAGTGGGGCCTGCGGTGAGACAGGAGACAGGGCAGGGACAGGGAGACACGGCACTCATTGGTGCCTGAGCAGGTCTTGGCCTAAACAGTGTGAGGGCCAGGGGGCTGGATCAGGAGGATCAGGACTTGAGTCCCAGGCACTGGACTGACAGGTTTAGTAACCTATCAGCGTCGTACCCACCCCTGCCTCACCTGGGACGAGAGGGCTTCACCTTTCCCCCACTGAAAACTAGAGACCAGATCCTACCATCTACCATGGGGCCGAGATGGCGCCGGCCAGACCCACTCACCCCACTTCGTATTGAACTTGCAAAGCCACAGCTGAGTGACTGGGCTCAAGAGTGGCCTCATCCAGTGGGCAGAACTGTGCCCGGCATGCTCTAACAGCTGGGCATCCGGTAGGACGTCACGGTCCATGTAAGCATCAGCCACTGGCATAGACAGTGCTCATCTGATCTCTAGAAACCTTCCAAATGAAGGTGAGAGCCACTTCCGCTTTCTGTATCAGCAGAGTATCCTATGAAATGCATTTCAATGAGCTTTGGACAAATGGCACCAGGGCAGTGCGTGGGTGAGAGCCCTCCTCCCCCCTGCCAGGTCTCAGAAGTTCAGCTTTGGTCTGGACTGGATGGTACTGCTTCATGGCTGTGGAGTCACTTTCAGTGTTGGTGACTTGGAAGATGTCTTGGCAGACTTTCCAATGCTTCTCCTTTCCCCCTAGAGTGTGGCCGCTGCTGGAGGGAACAGGTGCACGACCCAGCAGAACACCCCTGCCTTCCCAGCAAGTTGGCGGGGAACCAGTACCCCGTGGACGGAGCGTCTGATTCTGTGACTGGAGCTCCCAAGTTGGTGGCAACGTAAATGGCTCTACTCCCCCCTGGCATCCGCTTCCTTACCTCTTTCTCCCGAGATCAGTGGTGAGTCTGGGGGTCCTGTCTCTGGCATGGTGCTGTTGGGTGCCAGCGGAACTCTCTCTGCCCATCAGTGGTGGAAGCTGTGGATTGGAGTGGGGCGCATATGTCTTTCTGTTTGGTCCGGTCATGCCAACATGGTTCTTGGACTCCTGGGTGATCCTTAGGGGTGCTGAAATCATCCTTGTTGCTACAGAAAAATAGCCAAGGATTATAGGCTAAGATTGTAAAGTGGTTATTGGTAAAATAAATAAATAATAAAAATAAATAAACTGATAAATGGTCTTATCAGGCCCAAGTTTCAAAGAGAACGTGAGCTTGAGCCAGTTCCGTGAGACCAGAGCCCCACTTTGTGTCCAGAGCCTCCCTCCCGGCCTGTGTGTTCTGAGTCTCCACCCGCGGGGCCCAGGATTCTACCCCCACGGTGGAAGGGAGCAATGGCGGCACAGAGGCCGGACCTCTGGTCTTGTGAGTTAAACTGACCAAAGACAGATGAGGAAGAGACAAGTTTTAAGACGGAAGGTCTTCTAGAAGCTGGACTCCGGAATGTTTTGAATTGGGGCCTCATTATCATCTTTAATAAGGGAAAGGGGAGAGAGAAAGCACTTGGGAGAGAGCGGAGAGATAAATGGGATAAATGGGCCTTAGAGCAGAAGGAGCAGATGATCGAGCCTGTCTCCCGCGGTGGGGCTGCGTCTCTCCTGTGATAAGAGTTAATGTTTGCCGTTATTTCCTGGAGGAGGACTGCAGAGGAATCTGTCGAGCTCTTCCTGAGAGATGCTTTCCTTCCCGGAGGCTCCTGCTCCCAGGAGATGGAGTCTGGCTGTGGTGCAGATCTGAGCATCTCTGAGCCACACGGGGGGCCAGCTTGAGGACAGGCATCTCCATCATCTCCGAGTGAGGGTCCCTCCGCTTCCTTACCCGTTATTAGTGGGACAGAGAGAGCCCCTGTTAACCCGCGGCCCTGCGTGTCCCGTGTCTCAGTCCCCCGAGCGAGCGCACCTCCCCACTGGGTTTCCGTGGATACTTTGTGTATCAGTTGCATTGCTGAATCGGTCTCCAGAGCATCTGTAGACTCGTGTGCATGTGTGACTGTGGGGAATGACGGAGCAGCGGCCACCTCTGGCCCTTTGAGGCCCTGGAGGTGCACCCCGGTCCTGGAGTAACATGGATTTTTGCTAGAAACATGGGATTCATTTAAAACAAAAGCTACTCCATACTGTGGTTTGAACTCTGGCCTCGTGCTTGTTGGGGAGGTGATCTACCACTTGAGCCATACCCCTAGCCCCCAAACATGTTCTTGTGTTGACTTACTATAGTTCACCTTCACGGCTCCTGGTTGGAACACTGTGGATGACTCACATCTCCCTGTATCTGCTTTAATCTTAAGGATATATTGCGAAAAACAAGCAAAAATAAGGGGCTGGGAAGGTGGCTCAGTGGTAGAGCACTTGCCTTACATGTCTGAGGCCCTGGGTTCGATTCCACAGCACCACATAAGCAAAAAGAAAAAAGCCAGAAGTGACGCTGTGGCTCAAGTGGTTGAGTGCTAGCCTTGAGCTGAAGAGCTGAGGGACAGCACCCAGGCCCTGAATTCAGACCCCCCCCCCAAAAAAAAGCAAAAATAAGAAAGATTTGGATTGGTTTAGTTCCCGAGAAATTGCCCAACAAAGTACCATGGCCTGTGTGTCTCCAGCAACAGATGTTCCAGAAGAACAGAACCCAAGTGACGTCAGGTCTGTGGTCCGCCTGCGGGCCCCCGCACAGGGGCTTCCTGCCTTGTCCAGCGCTGTGCTGCCGCAGTGCCCCCGCCCCGGTACCCGACCCCAGGCCTCGGCCCGCCGCTGCCTCCCTCCATCTCAGCTCTGCAGTCACAGGGCCTCTCCTGTGTCGCGGCGTGTCACTGCCCTCAGCTACCGAAACCTCACCTCCACCACGCTTAAAGATGCTATTTCCAAATAAGATCGCCTTCTGCAGTTGTGGTAAATATGAGTTTCTGGAGGACTCTGTTCAACCCAGTGCAGCACTGGGTGCAAGAAAGCCACTCCCCCAGACTCACATTTCCTAACGGATGAGGATGAGGATGAGGATGATGGCCCCACTAGGACAGGGGTGGGGGGTGGGGGAGCTTGGACGTCAGTCGCCGGGTTCTGGACAGAGCCGTGGAGGTGAGGCATCTGCTCGCCGAAGGCCGGGCTGAGAGCAGCCGTGTTAGTCGGCCTTTCTGGAGCGGGGGATGCCAGGCCCCCAGCACGGGCCCCTTTGTCTCCCCTGCATCCTGAGGAAGAGAGAGGGGAAGGACAAATTTGGCATGGAGGAAGTAGCCTGGGCCTGAGACCAGCTAGGTGAAGATAAGGTTCCCTCTTCCGTCTTTAGGCAAGTCCAGCCTGTGTGCGTGCCGACCCTGACCCCTGACCCCTGCTGACCTGCGGGTCACTCTGCCTCCCAGGCTCATCCGGTGCCCTATCTCCACACAGAGGAACCTGGGATGTCCCGCCCTGCTCTCCCTGTGTGGAAGGGAGTCTGGGTGTATGGGGCTGGCCAGCCAGGGGCTGTCCTGAAGCCACTCAGCCCACAGGCTCAGGGCCTGTGGGGCAGGCGGGCCCAGCCATGGCCCCCACCTCTTGTCCCCCCAGACAGCTTTGGCGTTCGAGGAATGCCACCTGTCAGGCTCTGCCCTTCCACAGCCCTTGTCCTGTCCTGACGAGGCAGCCTGCCATTTCTGGGCCCTGGAGGAGAGGCTGGAGAGCCGAGCCCAAGACCGCTGAGTCACACTCCATTAGCAGTCAACAATGAGCGGGCAGGGCGGCGGCTCGGCTGCACGCTGCACGCAGAGGCCTCCTCCCCACCAGGGATGGGAGGCATGGGCGTCGCTCACACTTCTGTGGCTGGTGGAGCAGGGGACCCCGCACCCCACAGGGCAGAAGGGCCACTCACAGGCTGCGTGGTCTGTCCACTTAGCTGTGGCTGGACACTTGGGTCTTAGGGCTGATGGAGCTGAGGTAGCAGAAGCTCCGGTACTGCCTTGTCAGGTGCGGAGCAGTGTGTGCCCTTCTGCCCTCGACAGAGCCCCCCCCCCACCATGGACGATGTCAGAAGTGCAAGCATATGACAACGACCTGGGCTCCGCAGCTGGCAAGGCCCTGTGCGTAGGCCCAGCCTTTGCCGTCGGGGCCGTGGTCAGCGCGGCCCCCGCTCCTCAGAACTTGCTGTCTTCCTGTCTGCCTATTGGCCTGCTGGGAAAGAGAGTGCCGGGGACCTCATGTTTCTCAGAGAGAAGGGTGGGTGTCTTCTCTCCTAGCCCGCCCGCTGCTCTGTTTGCTTTTGCTTCCCCAGAAGCTGTAGCTTCAGTCAAGCAAGGCTACCTATCAATCCTTTCTCCTCACCTGAAGTGTAGTCTTTCCTTTGTGGTCAAGTCCTGGAATTTCAGGTCTCTACTATTGCTGGTGGTCAGAGAGGCAGGGAGCCCTAAAATTGTGGGATTCTGGGTGTCGACCACAGAGAGCTTCTGAAGGGGAGCAAGCCGCACTGCGAATGAGGACGTGTGGAGATGACGCGGGCCAGGCGGCCTGGCAGGCAAAGCAGCTGCCCTTCTTCCTGGTCTCTGCCTTGAATAGCTTGATTCACAGCTGTGATCCACAGCTGTCTCAAGCCAGAAACAGGGTGGCCGGTGGCTCAAGTACCGGTTCCCTCTGGCTGTCGTGTTCTTCTGTAGGGGCTCCTGGATTTTATTTCCATTTTGTTGACATTCATGGGGCTTGAACTCAAGGCCTGGGTGCTATCCCTGAGCTAGTTTTTGTTTTGGTTTTGTTTTTTTGTGGGTCATGAGGCTTGAACGTGGCCTGGTCGCTGTCCCTCAGCTCTTCAGCTCAAGGCTAGCACTCTTAACACTTGAGCCACAGCACCACTACTGGTTTTCTGAGTGGTTTATTGGAGATAAGAGTCTCACAAACTTTCCTGCCCAGGCTGGCTTTGAACCGTGATCCTCAGATCTCAACCTTCTGAGTAGCTAGCATGATAGGTGTGAGCCACCAGCACCCGGCTCTGCGCTTTTTTTTGGCTCAAGGCAAGCACTCTACCACTTTGAGCCACAGCTCTACTTCTGGTTTTTAGGTGAATAATTGAAGAGTCTCCCGGCCTCTCCTGCCCGGGCTGGCTTTGAACCGTGATCCTCAGATCTCATCCTCCTGAGCAGCTAGGATTACAGGCGTGAGCCCCAGTGCCCAGTAGGTCCTGGCTTTTAGACAGGGAGCAGCATCTGTCTCTCCCATGGTCCCTTCTTTCTCTCTCCTCCTCATTCTCAATTGCCAGGGCAGCAGGGCCGGGCACAGTGTTTCTACATCGTTGGCCAAGCTCAGAGCTTTCCAGCATCCTGACTTTGCCTTGTGGGGTCAATGAAGTAGTTACCTGCTAGGAAGCTTCTGAAAAAACTGCACAGAAATGAAATAAATACGATCTCTTATCAACCAAGATAAATACGGCCTCAATTGGCCAGGATAAAGTCTACACAAACATTTTCTTGGGTTATAAACTAAGCAGTCATCCCCTCGTGTCTGCTTTGCAAACATAAACGTACACTTACGGAATCCCAGGTTTCTCTGAGAGTCACCCCTCCAAATGGACATCTGTGATCTCGTGATATAATAGTAGATGTATGTTTGGTCTCTGCTTCCGCTCCCTGCACATAGCTCTTCCTCAAACCCTTGGAATCTGTGAAGTTGTAGGTGTCTTTTGTGTGTGTGTATCAGTCCTGGGGCTTGAACTCTGGGCCTGGCGCTGTCCCTCAGCTCTTCAGCTTGAGGTAAACGCTTTACCACTTTTGAGCCATAGCGCCACTTCTGGTTTTCTGGTGGTTAATTGGAGATCAGGGACTTTCCTGCCCAGGCTGGTTTTGAACCATGATCCTCAGATCTGAGCCTCCTGAGTAGCTAGGATTACAGGCATGAGCCCCCACACCCAGTGTATGTGTCTGAGATGACCGGAGGGTGGGGGGGGGTAGGGGGTTCCGGGCTCCCCTCAGAATGGGGCAGGTTACCCAGGGAACTCACCTGTGATTAGAGGTTTGGTTCCAACCACAGCTCTGCTCCCTGGGAGGAGGGGGCGGGAGCTGAGTAGACCCCCCCAGTGGCCAGTGATGGGTCAGTCTCTGCTGCTCTAGGAAGCCCCCAGGCCAGGCTCAGAAGCTTCTTGGTTCCTGAACACATGGCGGTGGCCGTGCTGGGTGTGGAAGGCCTTCATCCTTGCTGCGTCCCTCCCTGTGCCGTCTCTTCCCCTACCAGGGGCCCCATCTGGGTTCTTGGCAATCTTTATAATCTGCGCTGTGCGTACAGCCAGATCACCCAACTGGAGGAGGTGGGTGGGAAGTCCAGTTTGTGGTCAGCTGTCAGAAGCTCAGGCCGCACCCTGGGCCTTGTGATGGGCATTGAGGACAGAGGCCTCAGCCCTGGGTCCTGGCCCACTTCTCTATCCCCGTGTCAGAACTGACCCGAACCGTAGGGCAGAGTGTGGTGACCCTCACATCGGCGTCAGCAGTGCTGAGTGAGCACAGGGCAGAATAAAAGCTGGTTCTCCTGTCTCTTACACCATTAGAAGAGTTTCGATTTGGTCACGTGCTGGTGGGTTGTGACTCTAACCCTAGCTCCCCAGGGGGCTGAGATCTAAGGAGTGGTCAAAGGCAGTTCAGGCAGAAAGGACTGTGAGACCCTTATCTCCAGCTAATCAGCCAAGGCCCGAAGTGGAGGTGTACAGTGCCAGCCTTGAATGGAAAAAGCCAAGTGAGAGCTCAAGGCCTTGAGTTCAAACCCCAGTACCAGCACATGCACACATGTGCACGTGCGTTCACACACACACACACACACACACACACACACAGAGCGTGGCGTTTCTTTTAATACCGGAGTGTTGTATGCAGGAGGTTTGGCTGGTAATGGAAATGGCACAGCATAAATAACCCAGCACCGAGGAGCGCTGAGCACACAGCCTCACTTCTCTGCCCGGCTTGTGTTCCAGGTACAGAGCCTTCATTTTCACCCTGACGTTTCTGCTGTACGCAAGCTTCCACTTATCCCGAAAGCCTATCAGCATAGTTAAGGTAAGGAATCCTGAAACCACTCCGTTTTCTATCTCCCCTGCCCAGCTAATCTCTGACTCAGGGCGGCTGAAAGGTAAGTAGGTAGAGAGGAGAGATTGTGAGAGACAAACTGTTTCATTGGATTTTTTTTTGTTTCCCTTTTCATAAACTGAAATCTTTGAGATGGTTTAGCCCCCCCCCCCCAGTTTCAGGGGTCTGCCCCCACCTGTTGGCAGCCCCCTCTTTTGCTTAGGCCCCCCAGTTTCAGGGGCTGCTTCCACCTGTTGGCGGCCCCCTCTTTTTCCGTGTGTGTCCTCTGCAGTCGCTCCCCACCATGCTCAGACTCTCAGTAGGACTGGAGTGCGGCCGTGGAGGTGGGCTCCAGGCTGGCAGATACCTAGGGTCAGGGAGATGAGCAGGCAGGGGAAGGGAAGACCAAGGTGGACAGTCTGCCATCATGACCACTCAGAGAAAGAAGGGGCGTTCTCCTTACCTCCAGTGTGGAAGATGGGCTGGCATCCGTCTGGCCTGGGGGCTGGCAGCAGGCTCAAATGGCCTTTGGCGATCATAGGAAGCACAAGGAAGCTGCCCCGTGCCAACACCAGCCCATTATAGCTGTCCTGCCCCTCCCTCCCTTGGCAGCAGCTGCAGGCAGGGCCAGGTCCACTGTCCTGTGACCCCTGAGGCTTGGCACGCACAGCTGCCCTCCACCTCCTCCAGGCAGCAGAGACAACGCCAGGGCTGCTGGCCCCGGGGGGGGGGGGGGGGCGGGAACGGAGGGGAGAGTGGGGACGGGGGGGGGGTTGGGCTGCTCCCTCTCCAGCCACCCCCAGTCTATAGGAAACATTTACTTACTCTAAAGAGTCTAAATTTCCTTCTTGGCTCTCAGTGCCCTTTCACTCACTGACTGTAGGAATGTGTGTGGTCCTTTAGGAATTTGGTTTTCCGATGTATGTTTTCTCTCATACGTGGAAGTGAGATCTAAAACACCCTGGGCCATAATAAACGATCTAGGATACTAGACACGCAGGCAGAGCAGGACACTAGGGAGAGGAACACAGGGCGCAATGCCTGCGTGCCTCCCATCCCACAAAATCACATTCAGCAACAGGAGCTCCCGACATGGACACAAGAGGTTTTTTTCTTTGTTGCTATTCTTTTCTTTACCTTTTATCTTGTTCTTTCCTTTGGGAGGGTAAGGGGAGGCACAGAAACAAAGGACAAAGGGTGAATGAATGTAGCCGTGGTACTTTTTAGGCACTATATTGAAAATGAACTATACAATTTGTGGGTGGGGATAGGAGGGAAAAAATTGGGAGAGTGCGAGGGAAGGTCCAAAAAGAAATGTACTCCTTACCTGACTTATGTAACTGTCACCTCTCCGTACTTCACCTCTATAATAACATCTTTTAAATGCTGTTTTCAAAAGAGATAGGGATAGACAAAGAGGCGGTAGCCTTAGCCAGCTCATTACTAAGCACACTTAGTAAACTCACACTAGGTTGATGGCCTTAGTGAACAGGGATACACTCGCATCTTACCTGGGCTTTCTGTAACACCCAGAATTTTCAACTTGGCACTGTAGATATACCTGGTTATAGATTAACCTTGTGCTGAATCCCTTGGGCTTCTTTGCCTTTTAAGATAATGGGTAAAAAAGTCAGACACCAGTGGCTCACACATAATCCTGCTACTACTGAGGAGGCAAAAGAGACTGCTGTTGAAAGTCAGCCTGAGCAGACAAATCCAAGAGACTCTTACCTTCATTTAACCACCAAGAAGTTGGAGGTAGATGAGTGCAGCCTTGAGCAAGAATACAAGGTCCCCAGTACACACGCACGCACACACACACACACACCACTGTGTGCCAGGTACTGATAGCTCACCCCTGTAATTCTAGCTACTCATAAGGGTGAGATCTAAGGATCTCCATTTGAAGTCAGTCCCTGCAGGAAAGTCCATGAGCCTCTTATTTCCAGTTAACCACCAAAAAGCTGGGGCTGGGGCTCTAATGGTAGAGTGTTAGTCTTGAGCAAAAGAGCTCAGGGACAGTACACAAGCCCTGAGTTCAAGCCCCAGGACCAATACACACACACACAAAAAAGACAACAGAGGAAGAGAAGGAGGAAGAGGAGGGTGATTATTTCTAACCTGTTCTTCTCCGTGGATATTCACAGAAGTAAGTGTTGTTTCAGGCAGTGGTCTGCAGAATTCCTTTTCTCTTACTTGCATTTGTGTGAGGCTAACATTGGAAACCAGTCTAGACTGACAGATGATGTCTGTCCATGAGTCTGGTCCGCCCTGCCCTGGGTCCTCCTGGATGAGCAGGGACCGGAGCCTGTGGTTGACCCGGTGGGAAGTAGACGCGCTGGGTTCTGAGGGAGCACCGTTGATGCTGCCAGGTGGCAGGGAAGGGACGGTGGCACCCTGCCCGTGTCTCACCTGACCCCACGGTGCAGGGGGTGGCCCGTTGGGAGCAGCCAGCGCCTGAGCTGTGGAGGCAGAGGGTGGCACTCGGCAGAGCGGGGAGGGAGGGCCTGGCACCTGCGAGGAACACGGACGCTGCTGGGGAAAGTTGTGTGTGAGATAATTACTGAGTTTGTCAAGTGAAGCTGTGGCTGGCTTTTGGGACATTTGCATCTGTGTAGAACAGCCCAGGGGTGGTAAGAAGCCGTGTGGCAGAGAGCAGCTGGACCCATGGGTGCCGGGCAGCACCTACACCCAAGGGCAGCGCCTACCGTCTGATGCCCTCCCCCACCCAAGGCTGATCCCTGCCCCGCGGAGGCTCCCTCCTGAATGATGCCCTCCCCCACCCAAGGCTGATCCCGGCCATGGGGGTGACCTGCCCCACGGCGGCTCCCTCCTGAAGGAGGTGAACAGGACATCAGCTGCCACCTACCTGTGACAGGACCGGGGTGGCCCCGAGCCCGCCCAGGCCAGCGTGCCCCACCACCCCCAGGTTCTCTGCCTTTCCCAGGTTCCTCTGGTCTTGAGGACACTTGAGGACATCTGGTCCCTGACCTGGGGCGCCCTGACGGCCTCTGCTCACTCCCGGGGCTGCTCTCCTCTCACGCGCTCGCACCCCGTCACTGTTTGCTGGTCCTCGGGCCAGCCAGGTGGCCGGTGGTCCCCAATCTCAGGAAGTTCCAGTTGTCTTACCTTTTTTTTGGGGGGGGTGGTCACAGGTCTTGAACTCTGGTCCTGGGCATTGTCCCTCAGCTCTTCAGCTCAAGGCGAGCGCTCTACCACTTGAGCCACGGCGCCCCTTCCGGCTTTTTTCTTTTTGCTTATGTGGTGCTGAGGACTCGAACCCAGGGCCTCAGGCATGCGAGGCAGGCGCTCTGCCTCTGAGCTGCCCTCCCAGCCCTGGCCTGGTCTTTTGAAACACAGATGTTTGTTTTCTGCGTCTTGTGTCGCTGCGTCCCCAGCTGAGCCCCGCCTCCATCTTCACCTCCTTTAGGGTGAGCTCCACAAGCAGTGCGCTTCCCAGGATGAGGCTGAGCCCGGATCCAGCGGCCAAAGCCGTGGAGATGCACACAGGCCTGCCGGCCAGCTCCTGGACAACGAGACGGACTGTGGCTGGGCCCCCTTCGGTGAGTGTGGGCCGGGCCAGCCTCCCGCCCGCAGCCCCGCATGCCTGCCTTGCCCGTGTTAGCCGGCTACTTGATGGCCATGGTGCCAAGCAGAGGAGTAAATGCTTTTCCGTGCACTCCTTCCTGGCAACCCTGTTCCTCCTGGCTGGCAGGCATACCGTGCGCGGTGCAGGGGTCACCCCCGAAGGGAGAGCCTGGGGCTGGGGACAGACCTGCGGCGTGTGTCTGTCCCAGACGGGGAGTGAGAACTGGCAGAGCGCAAAGCGGAGAGGAGGGCAAAGCGGAGAGGAGGGCAAAGCGGAGAGGAGGGCAAAGCGGAGAGGAGGGCAAAGGAAGGCCGCAGCGGCCCGGCGGGGTGCTCAGACATGAGGAAGTCTGCCCTGTGAGCTTTGGGATGGCGTCGGATCCCAGCATCTCCTGAAAACGTGATGGTTCCGCTGCCTGTGGTCAGGCCGACCTGGGCACGCTCCAGGCCCCCACGTGGAAAGAACACAAGTTTTGTGTCTTATAGCTCAGCTCCAGAACTAAACTAAACCGGACTGAGCCTCTGCTGTGGGTCTTCTCCATGCAGGAAAGAGCAATTACCAGCAGTTGCTCGGGGCTCTGGACTATGCCTTCCTGTGTGCCTACGCCATCGGGATGTACCTGAGGTAGGTCTGCTTGAGCTTCCAGATCGTTCCCTGTCCTCTGGTAGTACAGAAAGTAATCGAGGGACACGGAGGCCCTCAGGAGTGTGCAGCCGGCAGCTATTACTTACAGGTGCTTCGGTCCTGGGCCAGGTGAGAGCAAGCGGGCGGTCGTGTCTCCGGGAGGCAGGGCCTGAACAGCTGTTCAGCCACTCTCAGCCTTACGGCCCAGTGGTCAGGACGCTCTGTGAGGCTTGCCCACGCCAGGGCCGTGGCACTGGGAAGCAGGGACTGCAGCTTCCGCTCCATAGCTCCACTCCTGTGCACATCTCCCAGAGCTCACCTCCCAGCCGGCATGAGGCAGCCTATTGCCCCAGGGTGACCGTGGGAACTGGGCTGCGATCCTCTGGGCCTTGGTGTCCCCATTGAAAAACGAGGGAAATGACAAGTCAAACATGGCGTAGCTGTAGGACTGACTGACTAAACACATGGAAACGCTCTCCGGCTGTTCCCGCGCCTGTACCTGGATAAAGGGCTGGCCCTGGGCGGCTGGCCAGTGCTCTGGGGTGAGGGGACCACGCTGGCTGATTAAAAACCGGTCCAGCCCAGGCCTTCATGTTCATTCGGTAAGCTTTTTTTCTTGTGGGTCGTGGGGCTTAAACTCTGGGCCTGCGCGCTGTCCCTGAGCTCTTAAGCTCAAGGTGAGTGCTCTACCACTTGAGCCACAGCGCCACTTCTGGTTTTCTGGTGGTTCATTGGAGATAAGAGCCTCACAGGCATGCCTGCCATGGCTGGCTTTGAACCACGATCCTCAGATCTCAGCCTCCTGAGTAGCTAGGATGACAGGCGTGAACGCCCAGCGCCCAGCTCATCATTTGGTTAGTTTTTTTAAGCATCACAGGGACTAATGCTTTAATCTCAAGAGGCTTTTGTTCAGAGACAGATCATTCGAGCTTTGAGGGTCCCTGAGATTCCTATAAATGCTACCTTCTTCCCCGAGACCCTCAGCCTGTGGGACCAAGGCTGGGGTCTTCTTGACTCCACCACACCCTGTAGGTGGCCCTGGGACGCGGTCCCTGCAGATGACGCACACAGTCCGTCATGAGACGTTCCTGGGCACAGGCCTGGGCGCCGGTGTGAGTGGGTGAATGGGTCCAGAGTGGCCCAGCAGCCCCAGCGGGGGGCACAGTGGAACAGGAGCCCAGCTGAAGAGCAGCACAGCCCAGGCTGCCTCAGGACTGAGCCTCAGCCAGCCTGCTGGCCGCGTGCCCGCCCAGCCCCCGTGACCGCGATCTTACTGGATGCACGTTGGAGATAGAATAAAAGGCCCCACGCAAAAGATGTTTTCTGTTACTAGAAAGCAACGTTTAACGCTGGCTGTCATCTGAGGGCCATTTGGTCCCCTAGAGGGCATTTAGGGGTGCCTGGAGACGCTGTCTGTCACCGGTAAGGGAGGGCAGCCCCTGGCATCGAATGGGTAGAGACGGAAACAGAGTCCCCTGCAGCACATAGGAGCACCCCGTACTCTGAAGAAGTCTCCACAGTGCTGAGGTCGGAAACCGAACTTAGTACAGGAAGTGAGGTTAAGTTTGCGTACGTATTGCTAAAGACAGTTTTTCACACAAGTCGCCACGAGTTTATGGGAGTCAAATTCTGTCTCCCACGACAGCCTCACAATGTGTGGCTGGCTGAGGCTCGCGGGGCTGGCGGCAGCCGCTGTGAGGGCTGCGCCGCGGCGGTGCTTGGCTGTGGTTACCCGGGGAACCACGGGTGGCGGGCACGTCCACCAGCCAGGCGGGAGCCCATGCAAGTTCAATGCAATGCGAGTGCTCTGTTCCCATGGACAGCTCTCCAAGAGCTTTCGAGTGGTGATTGGTCCCAGCACCGTGTAGCAACACTAGAGAACAGGAGCGTGTTGAGCTGGAGAGCTCTTAGCTCTAGAATGCTCTCAAGCCCGCGTGGTCAAGTCCTGCCAGGGTGCACCTCTGACTGCCTAGTTGTCACCTCAGATTCTGTTTCGGGGGTGGAAGGGTTCCTTGTGTGTCCCAGGCGGGGCCGCCCGAGGGGGTTACCCGCGGGAAAAGCTCCCTGCTTCTAAGCCTCGGGATGAAATGCAAAAACAGGGCGGCCATTTCCCGAGAGTGCGGGCTGACCGCTGCCTCTCCGCACCCTGTGCCACGCTTATCAGACCTCTGCGGTGACTATGAGGGAGAAGATGAGACCCACGGGTCTTTCCGAGGCTGCAGTGTGGGACTCGCAGAAGTCACGCTGGCTGCCTGGCCACCGTCCGGCAGGAAGGCGTGGGGGTGCGATGGGTTCATCGCCGCCCTCTGCTGAGAGAGCCTCCCACCCGCCAGCACTGTGGCCATTGGGTAGATTCTCTACCTCGGGCAGACGCCTGCAGGCTCAGTCACCAGAGCGCCACACAGCTCAGGAGGCGTCTCCAATGAGGCCAGGCCTCCCTGCGTGCGCTCCTGCTGTGGGGACCCGGTGACCCCCTTCAGACTTCCTGACCTTACTTCATCTTTCTTTTTTCAGTACTAGCTCCGCCATGCCACGGAGCTCCGCCCCAGCCCCTCTCTCTTTAGACCAGGCAAGGGTGGACGCCCCGTCCAGCCACCGTGCCAGAGGTGGCTGGCCTAGGCGCTGCGCACTGGGTTCACTGGACCAGTGGAGGCCACGTCAGGGTCATAGCGGCTGGCGGGATGCCATCTGTAGTTCGACAGTTGGAATTTAAAGGACTATAGGCGTTGACTGGCTACTGTTTGTTTAAAAGCAGGATTAACTAGCTGCACGAGAGTTGCTCTCGTGCCTGGGCAGCCATCACAATGGGTCCGCTTGTCCTCTGACTGTTGGCACCTTTTATGAGGAATCAGGCGTCCAAGACGCCGCCGTGGCCGTCGGGGTGAAGGGCAGGGCTGTGGAGCTGTGGACGCTCAGAGCACAGGCGGCAGCGAGCGGGCCGGGGCTGGCCGCTGAGCGGGGTTCGGTTTTTCTCTCCCTCCCTCCACCCGCAGCGGCATCATCGGGGAGCGGCTGCCGATCCGGTACTACCTGACTTTCGGGATGCTCTCCAGCGGGGCCTGCACCGCCCTGTTTGGGCTCGGGTACTTCTACGACATCCACAGCCTGGCCTTCTACGTGGTGGCTCAGGTGAGGGTCTGGGCCCGGGGCTCTCCGGGAGGAAGAGAGTGGGGTGTTTGGGTGACAGAGCCCCACGTCCGCTGGTGCACAGCCCCTTCTCTGGCACGGCTTCTGTACTCTGTTTCCCACCTTCCCAGCAGTCCTGTGAATACGGGCTAGTAACAAACAACATGGCCCGGTGCCGAGTGGGTGATGCTTGCGAACCTCTCCAAATAACCAAAGCAAATGGCATATTAATTCTGCTTTTCTGGGTTTGCTACAAGTCTCCTCCCCCCCTTTTTTTTGGCCAGTACTGAGGCTTAAACCCAGGGCCTGGGTGCTGTCCTGTACTTTCTTGCTTCTGCCATGGCTCTACTTCTGGCTTTTTCGTGGTGAATTTGAGATAAGAGTCTCGCAGACATTCCTGTCTGGGCTGGCTTCGGGCTGCGCTCCTCGGATCTCAGCCTCCTGAGTAGCTGGGATTGCAGGTGTGAGCCATAGGTGCCTGGCTTGTACTTGCAAGCAGGTATTCCTCAGGGTCTGTGGGGGATGGGTTCCAAGACCTGGGGTCCCCTACACACAGCACAGGGTGTGTGTGGGGCCTTTCTTGCGTCCTCTAGACACGTCATACATTTGCCACACTGCTTATTTAGGGAGCAGAAGAGAGCCAGGAGGGAAGTCTGCGGCGTTCTGTGCACACCGCCGGGGCGGGCCTGCCTGCTGTTGTGGTCTTGGTTGTTGGAGAGGCAGGATGCAGGAGCCTCAGGCTGCGGTGGTGTAGAGAATTAGAAGGGAGGAGGAGCAGCTTCCCAGGGCGGCAGCCTGCCCACTGCAGGGCCGCAGCAGGCGGGAACCCTGAGGCCTGGCAGGACCAGTAGGCACCGGCTGCGGCTGGTTCCTGTGGCTTCTGGGAGCAGCCCCACTCCCCAGAGCCCTCAGGGACCCATCCCCGCCCTGCAGCTCAGGGTGCAGGCCCTGCCCGTCAGGAAGCTCCGGCACCGGACTTGGGCTGATCTGGTTTTGGAGAACCACAGAACCTTCCTGTGTGCAGGCCAGGAAGGCATGCTCCCGGCCCTGTTTTCCTGAACTTTCTAACCCATTCTACAAAAGGAGGCGAAAGATGTCTTTCTATAGAATATCCACATTTGAAAGAGCCTGGAAGCTCTGCTAGTGGTGACACCCCTGCCTCTGAGTCCTGGCTAACTTGGCTTTTCTCTACCTAGTCCAATATGTACACACACACACACATACTGCACACATGTGTGCACACACACACATACTGCACACATGTGCACACACACACAGAGTTTTGTTATATTGTATTATTTTGTGTAGATGAAATCTCATTATGTTACTCAGGACGGTCTCAAACTCCTCTGTCCCAGTGATCCTCCAGCCTCAGCCTCCTGAGTAGCTGGGACTACAGATGCCTGCCATATGCCCCATTCATGTGTATATCATTACACTAGGCCGAGGTGCATCTTTATGTGTGTAAGTGACGTAGGTAGTTATCGTTTTCCTCTAAAGCAGTAAGTGCATCCTGTCGGTTGTGGCTCACATGAAGTGGTGTTTCTGTGGGGCCCCGAGGCACCCAAGCCCAGGAGGACGGGGAGCTCTCTGGGGTCCACCCTGGGGTCGTTGGTGAGCCTCTGCTCTTCCCCCCGGCAGGTCATGAACGGACTGGTGCAGACCACCGGCTGGCCCAGCGTCGTGGCCTGCCTGGGCAACTGGTTTGGAAAAGGAAGGTGAGGAAAGGCCCTCCTGTTTCCCTGCGTGGTTTGTTGTCATCATTGTTGGTTCGTTTTGGTTTTTTAAGATTCTGATAAAAACTAGACGATGCTACTTTCTTTTCTTCTCAGCTAATGTCAGAAAGAGACTCTAGGTTCCTGTTAGAAGAAAGATGCTGAAGCCTCGGGCTGGAGGGTCAAAAGCTGGCACAGGGCTGCACCCCAGGGTGGCGTGGGCTGGGCTGGGTGCACGTGGCCTTGGAAGGCACACCAGACAGCTGGGCAGCTGCGGGAGCCTCGCACCCAGGGCTCCTGGAGGCCGACTCTGTACTTACAGGAGAGTGTGAGATGGCCTGACCCAAGTCGCCCGGCGCCCTGCACGGGGGAGGCTGGGCCGCAGCCCAGGCCAGCCGAGAGCTGAGTGCCTGACTGTGGGCCGCCGCGCGCACACACACATGCACGCACGCATGCATGCACTCACGCACATGCACATGGCGAGCGGGTTCCCCAGCCTCATTTAGAAGCAGCCTCTGCACGACCATCACTCCCATGACTGGGTTGAGGCTGCAGAGGCACATGAAGTCCCGAGCCTTCTAAGAATTTCAGAAAAGAAAAACCCTTCTTAGCTCTTTTCAATTACAGAAAATAAGCTCTGAGCAAGAACTTGAAGGTGTAATTATACAGCCCGAGGCAACATAGCCCCAGTCCTCTCCAGAGCGGGATCTGCCCCTCCTCTGGGGTCAGCCTCCCAGCTCCACGGCCCTCCTCCTCCTCCTCCTTCGGGGTCAGCCTCATCCCTCCTCCAGGGTGTCAGACTCCGGGGCTCGTGGGTGCCCCTCCTCCAGGGTCAGCCTCGCCCCTCCCTCCGGGGTGTCAGCCTCCCAGCTCTGCTAGCCCCCTCCTTGGGGGTCAGCCTCGACCCTCCTCCCGCGTGTCAGCCTCCTGGCCTCTTGTGTTGCAGGCGGGGCCTCATCATGGGAGCCTGGAACTCGCACACCTCCGTGGGGAACATCCTGGGCTCGCTGGTGGCCGGCTGCTGGGTGTCCACCTGCTGGGGGCTGTCCTTCGTCGTGCCCGGGGCCATCGTGGCGGCCATGGGGGTCGTGTGCTTCCTCTTCCTCATTGAGCGTGAGTATATGGGCCCCGGGGTGAGCCAGGACCAGACGCGTCCACACAGTGCTGTGTGTGCGCGGAGTCGCTCTGGCCTGCACGGATTTCCCGGCAGCCCGCCCTCCCGATGCGTTTGTGTGGCGGGCTTCGTGCCTCCCTGGGCCAGGGCACGGCCCTGCCCGCGTGGCTTTCCCGCTCCCCCCACCCCGGTCCACCTCCCCCACAGGCAGACCTGCCAGCTTGTTTGCTTTCTGATAAAACTATGTCGTGGCTTAGGGCCATATATCTTAATTGGGTAACATGGCTACCGGAGACCAAGTTCCTGGTTGCACTCCAGGGTTAATACCTAACTTGATTTGATTGACTTTGAAAACAGTGTTTGAGGAAGTGGTCTTGGGAGCACAGGCCTTGAGCCACCTCCCACAGAGAGTCTGGGCTGTTGCATTCCTGGTGTTGAGGCTTTTGGTGTGGCTCAGAGCAAAATACAGTCCCCCAGCCCTGGTGGCAAAAGGCGGCCACCACCGTGAGCTCTGCGCCTCCAGCCGAGCCAGGCCTGGCCGAGCCCCGCCTGGCTGGCACAGCCGTGGGAACCTCTCCTAGGAAGCGAATGCTGTTGGGCTGGGAAGGTGGCTCAGTGGTAGGTGCCTCACACGCATGAAGCCCTGGGTTCGATTCTTCAGCACCACATAAGTAGAAAAAGCCGGAAGTGGCGCTGTGGCTCACTGAAGTAGTCGAGTGCTCGCCTTGAGCTAAAGAGCTGAGGGACAGCGCCCAGGCCCAGAGTTCAAGCCCCACAACTGACAAGAAAAAAGAGCAGCTGTTGCTTCTCCTCCTCCAGCTCCTCTCGTCTCCTTCTCCTCCTCTTCTTCCTTTTCCTCTTCTTCCTGGCCTGGGGCTTGAACTCAGGGCCTAGGTGCTGTCCCTCAGCTCTGTGCTCAAGGTTGGCATTCTACCACTTGAACCGTGGCTCCACGTCCCTGCTTTTTTTTTTTTGTATGTGTGTTTTATTGGAGATAAGAGTCTCACAGACTTTCCTCCCCAAGCTGGCTTTGAACCATGATCCTTGGATCTCAGTCTCCTGAGTAGCTAGGATGGCAGGCCTGAGCCTCTGGGGCCCAGCTGGCAGCTTTCCTCTTACTGCTTGATCCACCCTTCTGATGCAGCCTGGCCGAGTGTGCAGCCTGGCCTAGTGTACGCCTCTCAGGCCACCCTCAGGCCGCCTTGGGTGTGGTGGACACGGAGCATCTCAGACGCGGGCCTGAGCCGGCCCTGCCCATTTCCCCGTGTTCTCAGCGGCCTAAGAAGCTTCCAGTACCCAGGGTGGCATTCTGGCTGGAGCAGGTGCACTGTGGGTCAGGCAGGGGTCCGTGCTTCATGCGCGGCCATTTGGGCTGCCCTGGGACTGGCACCGGGTTCTGTCTCCTCTGCTCCGGGGCATTCTTCCCTCACCAGGCTCCAGGAAGCAACATGCTTCCTCTTCACAGGCCCAGGGGCTGCTGGGAAGTGCTGCCCCAGCTGGATGTCCCCAGGCCCTGCCCCTGTCCTCCTCAGTGATGGAGGGAGCGTGTCCTGGGACAGGAGGAGCTGCGGTGGGGTATAGAGACCACCTGGGCGTGTGGGCGCGGGTTGGGCGCTGTCCCCCTGGACCAGGTCGGGCCCAGCCAGGGCAGGATGGCTCAAGACAGTAAAACTCTCATTTGATCTTTTCATGATCAAACCGGTCTCCTTCCCACGAGCCCCTGCGGCTGGTGGGAGGCCCAGCAGGTGTGCTGTGGACCGGTCTCCCGGCAGCCACCAGGCAAGGGCTCCGGGCGCTGTTCTTCCTGGGCCACTCTGGTCAGGAGAGCAGCTTGGCCAGGTGCCAGGCCTCGAGCTTGGCAGGCCAGGCCTCAGCCACAGAGCCGGGCTTGGAGGCAGCAGACCCGCTCTGCAGGTTCCCTGCGAGGTTTCCCCCCCCCCGCCCCCGCCAGCAGTGAGGCTGCCTTCCGTGCCTCCTGCCCACCCCCCCCCACCAGGAAGGGAACAGGGCAGGGCGCTATGGAGAGCCCTCCCTCCCCCTCCCTCCCCCTCCCTCCCACGGTTCCTGGGTGTTTTCACACACACAGTATTAGCCTTCAGCCATCACAACTAAATCACACTGCGAATGGTCCAAGAGCTATTTAAACCTTGCCATTTCTGCTCCTCGTGACACCACCAAGAACATCTCGTCCTTCCTGCCCCGCCCGTCCCCGACCTCCTGTGCATGATGGTTTGGGGTCAGGGTCCCTGGTGCGCATCAGTCTGTCTGCCTCCCAGGTCCGGCCGGGTCCCTGCTTTGTGTAACTACTCATGGCAGCTGGGCTGAGACTCTGGCCACATGTCCCTGGTCGGGGTGTGGGCCCTTGGGCCATGCCCGGCAGAGCACCCGTGCAGCGCCAGCATAGCCCACTTTGAGGTGTGCAGGGCGCAGGCCCTGGCCTGACCCACCCCCCCTTCCGCCAGAGCCACACCCCTGCAATAGAGAAAGTACAACAGGGAAAGAACGCAGCCCGGAAGCTTTCAGCTCTGTCGCTGTGTTTAAACAGTCCACTTATCCAAGCGTCTACGAAGGCAGGACTCCAGGTGGGGGCAGAAGTGCTGCCCGAGCCGCCGAGGGCGACGAGGCTGCGCACCACCAGCCCAGTGCGCTCAAGGCTCCACGTCCCTCACAGATCACGCTAAGCTGAAAGGAACAGCCCTGAGCCTAGCTTCTGGGACTTTCCTTTCTATGCTTCCTCCCTTCCGTATTTCTACAGACACTTTATTCTCTATTAAGGGAGATGTTCGCTGATAGGGTGGCACCTGCCTGGAATCCCAGCACAGGGAAGCTGAGGCGTAGGCCTGTCTCAACAACCGCAACAGAGAAGGTGGGGTGAGGAGCAGCAACATCTTATCTCCAGTCATTTTCTTTTTCTTTTTTGTCAGTCCTGTGGCTTTGAACTCAGGGCCTGAGCACTATCCTTGAACTTCTTCAGCTCAAGGCTAGCACTCTACCACTTGAGCCACAGTGCCACTTCCAGCCTTTTTGTTAATGTGGTGCTGAGGAATGGAACCCAGAGCTTCATGCATGCTAGGCAAGCGCTCTACTCCTGAGCCACCTTCCCATTTTTATTAGTGACAAATTCCACCAGCCATTGTGCTACAGTGCTGCCACCGCACTGCTTTGAAACACATTTTGTGGCACATGCTCTTTATGCGTGTATGAATGTGTGTGTGTGAGCATGTGTGTGCGAGCGTGTGTGTGTGTGTGTGTGTGTGTGTGTGACGCATTGCATCCTGTTGGTGCTGTGCCCACTCGACTGCGTTCCATAGTCCAGGCTGTGCCCCTGTCCGTGGTGTCTGACCCTCGCTGGAGGTGATCCACCCTGACCTCTGAGCGTGTAGGGAGGGAGTCCCCCCTCCCCGCCAGCAAAAGGCTCGAGGATGGCGCCCCGGCCCTGAGACCAAGCCCAGGACAGGCACAGGAGCAGCTCAGGCGGCATCGTGTCTTTGTTTTGTTTTGTTTTTATAAGCAAGCATTCCCGTGTGTGTTCAAGGTGTGCCACACGGGGTGTGGGAGCCCGTGGGTAGAACCACCTTCCACACGAAGCCGGCCGCCGTCCCACACCTCGCCTCCGTGTCCCACGCGGCGTTCCTGTGGGAGGGAAGAGCCGCTGAAGTTCCTCAGCACAGTTGTGAGGCACGCGTCCTGGCCCCTGTGTGTGCGCCGGTGTGCGTGTGCACTGCGCCTCAGCGCCCCGCATAGGTGTGGTGGGTGTGGGTGCGTGTGTACCCAGCCCTGCTCTCCTGTGCTCTTTCAGATCCCAAGGACATCCGGTGCTCCTCCACGCTGTCCACGGTAAGGGCTCCCCTGGTCCTGCCCCTTCTAGAGCAGGGTGCAATGAGGCGGGACTCCCCCCTCCCCCCGTCTCCCCTGCCCCCTGCCGGCCCCATGCTCCACCTCAGGGATGGGGAGGAAATGTGCAGGGCTAACATCTCTTCAAACAGGCACCCGCACCCCAGGTGACCTTGTCCCCCCCCCCCATAGAAAGATCGGTGTCCCCCACTCCTCCCTGTGCCTTGGGAGCGCGGTGACCGCCCTGGCCCTGCAGCCTCGGGCTGTGCCCCCCCCCCCCCCCCCCCCAGTCTCCACCGTGCCACAGGCAGCCCCCAGCGCTTGTCCCCTCCTCCTGGTGGCCTCTCCCTGCACTGCCTGGCCTGGCTCCTCTCCCCTCCCCCTCCTCTGGCTCCCATGGCGTGGCGTGTGGTGGCTGGGCCCCACCGTCCGGCCCGTGGAGTGCTCAGAGCCTCCTCCTGGCCGCCAGCCGTCCTGGTCCTAATGCGTGCTCGTGCCTAGGCAGGGCCACAGCCTGGCACCGTGTGCCCGTGGCAGGGGCGTCCCAGCCCTGTCCTCCGCACCTCCAAGGCCAGGCAGGCCTGCTGACTGGCTCCGCCCCTGAGGCCCCGTGGCCCACCCGATGGAGGGGTCCCACACGGGTGCTGCGGGAGCCCTGCGGAGCTGCGCTGGGCAGTGCCTGCACCCAGCAGCAGAGGGCGCCAGAGCCCTTCCGGCCGCCCCTCAGTAGTTCTAGGGCCTTTGCATGCAGCTCACCTGGGGAGTGAGACCTTATTAAACACAAACAAACATGAGAAAATCGCTGCCTTCTAGAAGGTCAAGCACAGTCACTTTTTAAACAGAACTTTCAAATGATTGTACAAGGGGTTAACCATTTAAGATGTCTGTGCATGTGTCCGGTGCGTCTTGATAGAAACGCTCTTCCAGTGTGCTCTCCTGCCCCCCCCCCGCCCCCAGCCCTGTCACATGACCCACGTCCATTTCACCTGTGCACCTTGAGCAGCGTACGCACTGCTGCAGCGTGGTCACGTGTACACGCATGTACGCCCGTGTATGCTTACGTGGAAGCCATTTTGAGTCTAAGGTCCTCATATGAGAGAGGAAAGCACATGCCCTTTGTCTTTCTGGGTCTGGAGTATACTCAGTATGATTTTTTTCCCCCCAGAACCATCTATTTCCCTGTAAATGACATAATTTCATTCTTCCTGTTGGCCGAATAAACTTCTCTTGTTTGTATGTCACATTTTTTTGTGTGCTGGTACTGAGGCTTGAACTCAGGGGCTGGGCTTTTTTGGCTCAAGGCTGACAGTCCACCACTTAGGGTCTTACCTCCACCCCTGGCCTTGTGCTGGACAATTGGAGATCATTCTTGAGGATTTGTGTTCCTGGGCTGGCTTCTAATGGGAATCCTCCCGATCTCAGCCTCCTAAGGTTATAGGTGTGGGTCACTAGCATGTGTTCTGGTTTCATTCGATTTTCTGAGTGTTGAGCATATTTTTTGGGGGGGTCCAGTCGTGGGGCCTGAACTCTGGGCCTGGGCGCGACACCCTCAGCTCTTCAGCTCAAGACTAGCGCTCTACCACTTGAGCCACTTCCGGCTTTTTTCTTTTTGCTTATGTGGTGCTAAGGAATCAAACCCAGGGCCTCAGGCATGCAAGGCAAGCGCTCTACCACTGAGCCACCTTCCCAGCCCTGTTGAGCATATTTTTCATATGGCTATATATATTTCACTTGAAATACATCTCTTCGGTTCCTTCACCCATGTGTTGACTGGACTATTTGTTCTGTTAGTGTTTCGTTTTCTCAGCTCCGTGTCTGGATTTGAGTTCCCCGCGGGGGAAGAGCTGTCAGGTCTCCCCTGTTCTGGATTTGAGTTCCCCGCGGGGGACGAGCTGCCAGGTCTCCCCTGTTCTCTGCTTGTTCCTTGTGCCATGCGGAAGCTTGTTAATTCCATGTCATCTCTCTTGTCAGTTCTTGTTATTTCCTGAGCTATTAAAGTCCCATCCAGAAAGTACATGCCAGCGCCTGGATCTTAAAGGGTTTCCCTTGTTTTGCTGTAATTCCTCCAAAGTTTCAGGTTTTAACACTCCAGTTTTTGACCTGCTTTGAGCTGAGTTTGTACAGGAAGAGAGGCAGGGATCTAGTTTGTCTTCTCCATGTGGAGATCCAGCTTTCCCAGCACCGTCTGCTGAAGAGACTGACTTTTCCAGTGAACGCTTGCAGCACCGTGCTTGAATAGCAGTGAACTGTAGCTGTGGCTTCTTGCTAGATCCTCTATGCTGTTCCATTGGCCTTTGTGCCCATACCGTTTTTGTTACCATGGCTCTTCAGGGTCATCTGAGGTCAGGAATTGTGATACCTCCCACATGGTTCTTTTTGCTCAAGACTGTTTTTGGCTACTTGGGGTGTTTTGTGCTTCCGTGTGAGTTTGGAGGGGTTTCTCCCCTGTAAAGCGTGTCACTGGGATTTGGGTGAGGGTTGCATTGCATCTGTAGATCACCGTCTGTACTGTGGGCCTGCACTGCCTCTCGGGCCTTTTCAAAATGTCCCCTGCCATCAGAGATGACCAGAGCTGGGCCAGATTCCTCTGGGTCTGTGCACCTGGCACAGGTGCCAGAGGCCGGCTCCACAAGAGGTTCTTGTCACATTCTGTTACCCAAGGGCCTAGAGCCTAGAGATGAAGCGGACGGGCCATTGTTTTAACCGTTTGTCAACGTGAGGCTTGACCCCTGCCTGTGCATGCAGCCTGGTTCTGATGAAGCTTCTCTCTCCCGGCATCCAAAGGGCTACGAGAATGGCACAAACCGATTTAGACTGCAGAAGCAAATCCTACACAGCGAAAAGAGCAGGCCTCTGGTAAGTGAGGCGCGGCCGGATCCTGAGAGCCGCAGGGGCTCCTTCGGCCGCGCCTGCTCCGGCCACACGGCCTGGCTTCCCCCTCCACCTCCGAGACAGGCGTGAGACATCATTCCTCCCCTGGAACCTGAGTTCTCCCCGCTGGCTCTCTCTGGATAGTAAGCCATCCCTATAATGGTTTTAATCGAAAGAGAAAGCTATCTAGGAGCCGTGGGGACCGGGGAGCCCCAGGCCAAGGCCGGTTGACAACTGACCCCTGGGAGCGGGCGGCCCCCAGCAGGTGGCGCTGGAGTAGGGCGTGGTGGAGGGTTGAGCTACACAGTGCTCAGTTCCTGCCCTGATTTCTGCAGCCGGGGCCTGAGGCCGGGCAGACCCAGACCCGGGGGCTCCCGCCTGGGGGGTGGCGTCCTCTCAGCACAGAGGCTCTGAGCCTGACTTGGTTTTAATGGTTTAGATGATGAGCAGTCAGATTGCTTCAAGGACGCATGTGCTAACCGTGCTGTAACTTCTTTTTCTTCTCCGTGGGGAGGAGCGGTCGACCACCTCTCTTGGGTCCTGCCCGCGGGTCCTCGGGCCTTGGGGAGCGTGCACACTGTGACTCGCTCAAGCTCTAGAACCCTCTCCTCTCTTGTGAATGGACACACTTTAAAGAATCATGTCTTCCAGCCCCCAGAGCTGCAGTCTCCGTCTGGCGACTTCAAAGGCTGACCTCTGACCTCTGCCTCCGAACGAACGTGGACCAGGGGCTCTTTGTTCTGGTCTAGCTGTTCACCCAGGAACCTAGCCCTGCCTCCTCGCTAGCGCTCCCCTCTTCCCTCATCTGTCCCCTCCATGAAAGTCCCTTTCCTGACCTTTGGCTGAAGAGCCAGAGACCTGCGCGGAAGCCCAGCGGGCCTTGTTCCTGGGACCCGGTGGGGACGGCGCCGGGCAGGTGCTGGCCCTGCTTCCTCAGTGTCTGCCTTCAGCAGGCCCAGCCCCGGCCCCGGCCCTCAGCTGAGCATGTGCAGCCAGGGTTCCCACGAGGTTGACAGGATACCACGATTGTCCAGTGCCCAGAATGACCCTACTCGGGTTCCTAATACCGCATGGCTTTTGTTTTTTATTTTTGAGTGGCACTGGAACTCGGGGCCCAGTGCTAGCAAGGCAGACGCCAGGCTAAGCCAGACCTTCAGCCCTTTCCTGTGTGGTTACTCTGAGGCAGTGTCTGGCTTTTGCCTGAGCTTGAGCCTGGGCTATGATCTCCCTATGTTATTTCTCCCCCCGTAGCTGGGACGCAGGTGCACACCGCCATGCCCGGCTCTCCCATCGAGGGCAGGGGAGAGGCCCTCATGAACTTCTGCCTAGCCTGGCTGAGGCTGGTGCCCAGGCTGCGTGGCTGGACGTGAAGATGCTGACCACAGACCAGCCCTGGCAGCCCAGCCTGGCCTCCGGGGTGCAGGTCTGGCTCCACCTGGGCCGCCACCAGGGCGCTGTGCCCTGTAGACTGAGGGCACTACGCCGCCTCCCCACCTCCAGCTCCTGTGTTTCCATGGAGATCAGGGTGGGATGAGGAGATCATTGGTATATTTATTTATCTTTTTATTATTTATTTTTTGGGTCCAGTTGTGGAGCTTGAACTCTGGGTGTGGGCGCCGTCCCTCAGCTCTTCAGCTCAAGGCTAGTGCTCTACCACTTGAACCATAGTGCCACTTCCGGCTTTTTTTTCTTTTTGCTTATGTGGTGCTGAGGAATCGAACCCAGGGCCTCATGCATGCAAGACAAGCACTCTACCACTGAGCCACCTTCCTAGCCCCTTTATTTATCTTTTAAAATAATACAACCACCAGGAATGGGTCACTCAGGAGGCTGAGGCCTGAGGCTAGCCGTTCAGAGCCAACCCAGGCAAGAGAAGGAAAGAAGAGAGGAGGGGAGGAAGGGAGGGATAGACAATTACTGTACTTTGAATCTAGCTTACGTAGGTTCTAGGGAGATGGAAATAATAAAGCCTTCTGGGTTTCCTGGAAGGTCTCAAATGCTGGACTTGATAGCTCACTCATAAAGAACATCTTCGGTCACTCCCTTTGTTTTATAACTACAAACTTGATCCCAAAGGGTCAGAGGACACCAAAGTGAGAGCTGGATGACACACTTTGATGCTTGTAATGCTCTGCGGTGACCTACTTGGAAGCACAGGAGGGAGCGGCGCTGTGGCTCAGCGGCAGAGCGCTCGCCTTGAGCTGAAGAGCGCAGGGACAGCGCCCAGGCCCAGAGTTCGAGCCCCACGAGGTTTAAAATGACCTCGGATGTGAGGCGATCTGGCTGCGACATTTGTCACCCCATTGATTGCCAGGGTTGATTCGGCTGAAAGCACAGGAACACAAAGAATTCTTCATTAGCCAGGGGTTGGTTAGTAGCTCATGCCTATAATCCTAGCTACTCAGGAGGCTGACGTCTAAGAATCAAAGTCAGGTGAGGCAGACAAATCCAAGGGACTTTTATCTCCAGTTTACTAGAAAAATAAATAAGTGGAGACGTGGCTCAAGTGGTAAAACAACAGCCAAGCCGAAAAGGCCAAACAAGAATACAAGGCCCTGAGCTCCAGCCCTGGGACTGGCGCCCTTCCCCACACCCCACAATAAGCCTCTGTTGGCCTGCCCGTCATAATCAACACATAATGCCAGCAGCTCAGGCTGAGACTTTGGTTTCTTTCCGAAAAAGGTCCTGTAGCTGCCTGTGTATGTGGGCGGACATTCGATGTTCTTTGCGGAAAGTCCAGTTTGGAATGCTATAATATTTAATGACAGAAAGGTGATGACATTTTGATAGTCTAATTTTTAACTCAACTAGGAAGATCCTAACCATCTTCCAGACTTTGTCAGCAGCTATAAGACTTGTCACTGATGTGGAGGAGCTGTCACTGGACCATTTTCTCCACAATGACATAACGACCGTTCTCCTGCTTAATTATTATTAGTTTTACTTTTCAACTTATTTTTCACAAGAGCTCTCTGGGATTATCTGGCCCGGGGCTCGGTGTGCCAGCGTGTTTCAGAGCACTGGAGAGAGCTGGCGTTGTGCAGAGATGACCACGGTGGCCACCGCATGGTATTTCTCTCGTGAGAAACAAGCCCCAAGCGACTTGGAAGACGGGACGGTGGGAGAGCTCCCCACCCCCCGCCGACCTGGTGACACCGCTGCCTTCTTTCTTTCCTGCGGCCGGTACCAGGACCCCGAGATGCAGTGCTTGCTGCTGTCAGATGGGAAGATCCCCGTCCACCCCAGCCACGTGGTTGTCTTCCCGGGCGACGGGAGCGGCGTGGCGGCCATCAGCTTCACGGGGGCCCTGCGCATCCCGGTGAGTGCCGCGCACGTGTGAGGAGGAGGAGGGCCGGTCCGGGTGGAGGGCTTGCTCAGGACTGCTAGCCAGCCGAGCGCTCGCGGGCCTGGCGGGACCCCAGCCGAGCCAGACCGAGCGGCTGGGCCTCACGGGACCCCAGCCGAGCCAGACCGAGCGCTCGGGCCTGGCGGGACCCCAGCCGAGCCAGACCGAGCGCTCGGGCCTCGCGGGACCCCAGCCGAGCCAGGTTGTGTGCAGCAACCATCTCACAGTTGGTGACGTTGTTTTTCACAGCTAGAAGTTCCGAAACTGTATAGACAGGGCTTGCTATGTAAAAATATTACTTTTCTGGCTGGACAGGTGGCTTCATGGTAGAGTGCTCGCCCAGCATGCATGAAGCCCTGGGTTCCATTCCTCACTACCACACACACAGAAAAAGCAGGAAGTGGTGCTGTGGCTCAAGTGGTAGAGCGCTAGCCTTGAGAACAGAGAGGCTCGGGGACAGGGCTCAGGCCCTGAGTTCAAGCCCCCATCTGAAGAATAATTCAGACTTCCTACTCAGAAAACAGAGGGCCCCTTGCGTGTTGGTGGCCCCCATGAGCCTCCCATTTCCTCTTCCGCGAGGAGCGGTCAGCAGTGGTCAGCAGCCCAGCCGTGGTCTGAGGCTGTACGCGCCCTGTAGGCCTGGCCGGCGGGGAGGCCTGGAGCGAAGCGGGCAGACATGGAGCAGCACCCTGCAGGGAGAGGGGAGCCACAGCACCCCCCAGCCACACCTGGCCTCTGCCTCTGTGGGCCTGGCACTGGCCCTCGGGGTCAGCTGGCACACAGACCCCAGTGTGTCGATAGGTACATAAAGGAAACTGGAGAAGAAGGGCTAGCGCAGGGAAGAGGGCACTGGCCAGGGAAGGGCGGTATTCCGCGGGGCAGGTGGCTCACACCTGTCATTCTAGCTACTCAGGAGGCTGAGATCTGAGGATCGAGGTTCAAAATCAGCCTGGGCAGGAAAGCAGCACTGTGGCTCAAGTGGTAGAGCCCTTGCCTTGAGCTGAAGAGCTCAGGGACAGCGCCTAGGCCCTGAGTTCAAGCCCCATGACCGACAATAACAACAAAAAACTTTGTCCCCCATGCATCAAGGGTGATGGAGGCTGAGCGGAGGAGGCAGCCGCTGCCTAGCCATGGCAAGGGCGAGCCGCGGCTCTCCTCTGTGCCCCATACACACCCTCACCCACGGGAGAGAGGGGCCCTGCCCCCCAGGCCCACACAGGTGGAGACAACACGGAGCAGAGTCCCCGCACTGTGAACAAATCCCAGGTGTCTGTTCCGGGCAGGGTTCCACCAGGGTACCCCAGAGGAAGCTGCACCCCGAAATCTGAGTCGATCTCCACAGGCAGACACAGGCCTGGGAACCAGGCTGCCCGAAGGCCTGTGCAGACCGGCTGGTGGAAGATGCCAGGTGTGGGTAGAAATTGTTTCTGGAACTTTGCTTTTGATACCTGCTGGCAAGCCTGCTGCTGTGCTCAACCGTGGAGCTGCCCCCCACTCCCACCCCCACCCCTGCCCAGAGTGAGCCCCAGTCTGACTCTGAGGTTTCTCGGCCATGTGCTGATCTTCGCCAGCTATGGTCTCGTGGAAAGACACTAGGTTTCCATATTCTTTTTTTGTTGGTCATGAGTCTTGAACTCGGCCTGGGCGCTGTCCCTCAGCTCTTCAGCTCAAGGCTAGTGCTCTACCGCTTGAGCCACAGCGCCGCTTCCGATTTTCTGAGTAGTTTATTGGAGATACAGAGTCTCACAGGCTTTCCTGCCTGGGCTGGCTTTGAACCTTGATCCTCAGATCTCAGCCTCCTGAGTCACTAGGATGACAGGCGTGAGCCTGTCCAGCTGGGCTGGATTTCCATCTTAAAAAGGCAGTGAGGTAGGCAAGGCTCTGGCTGGGTCTCCCCTGCCCTGAGCAGGACAGTCAGGCGCGTCCCAGGCAGTGGGCCTCACCTGATGCATGGCGAAGGCCCCGGGGGGGGGGGGGCGTGGATGGCAGCAGACTGCTTTCCCCCAGGGCGTGATCGAGTTCTCACTGTGCTTGCTGTTCGCCAAGTTGGTCAGCTACACCTTCCTGTTCTGGCTGCCGCTGTACATCACCAGCGTGGGTGAGTGTGTGTGCTGCTGAGGCGCGGGCTCCCGCCCAGCCGGCCCCGAGAACCGGGGAGGTGCACCGGCATGGCTTCGCGCAGCAGGAGAGCCCTCGGGAACATGCCAGGGGCCCAGGTCCGGACCTTCCCGGGGCTCGTCTCCCCGCCGCCCTATCGCTGCTTCCTGTTCCCGCAGCCCACATTTAATTGGGGCCGTTTTAGATCTTGGAACACAAGTATGGCCACCGGGGATCATGATGATAAGCTCTTAATCATCTCACACTCTCGGGGGTGGAGCTGATCTGAAGGATGGCTGCAGTTTGTCTAAGGTTTCTGGAATCTAGCAGTGGGTTATGATGGAATGTTCCAGTAAAATAGGCCCTGCTTTGGGTATGACCCAGAGCAGCCAGGGCTTGGTGGGAGGGGGAATTGGGGACGGTGGGCAGCTCCTGGGGACACTGCTGCCTCTCAGCTGGGGGGGGGTAAAAAGAAGCAGCCAGCCCCCGGGGGCATGGGAGATGAGGGGACACTGGGGGGATGGCAGCCAGCCCCCGGGGGGGGGCATGGGAGGTGAGGGGACATTGGGGGGATGGCAGCCAGCCCCCGGGGGGGCATGGGAGGTGAGGGGACACTGGGGGGATGGCAGCCAGC